AAAGACAGGTGAAATAATGAATTTTAATTTATAAAGCAAGGCAACTTGTTACTACCATTTGCCAAATTATAATTTATAAAACAGGGCAACTTGTTACTACCATGTGCAATAAGGTAATGTATTTGGTTTAATAGCTGCATGTCCACAAGCAAGAAATTGACAGGTGAAATATTGCATTATATCTTATAAAACAGGGCAAATTGTTACTACCATTTGCAATAAGGTAATGTATTTGGTTTAATAGCTGCATGTCCACAAGCAAGAAATTGACAGGTGAAATATTGCATTATAATTTATAAAACAGGACAACTTGTTACTACCATTTGCCGAATAAGGCAATGTTTTATTTATTTTCTAGTTGTAGACAACTTTGTAGTTGTAGATTCAACGCTCACCGATCACCGCTTTTTCGTCTTTAAAGTACTCAACTTCGCTTTAAAATTTGACAAACGTATTAACGTTGCTTCCGTCCTTCGAAAACAACGAAATTTTCCGGAAGTAGAACGTACCGTTCGTCATCTTTCGTATATCCGACGATTGCCGAAGATTATCCGACGATCGCCACAAACACACACACACACACACAGATCCGGACACTTTTTCGACTACATAGTGGTTAGCCGCGCATGCGCAGGCTACCCACAAAAATGAACACTCGTCAAAATGCCTCCATTTTGGGACATAAATATCCTTTAAACCACTCCCAGTCCCCTCAGACTTTATTTTTCTAACTTCTTCTCCATATGTAGTTCGTAGACTTTGGATTTTGCCTAGGTTAAAGTTGAACATCTTGAGAAGGAAGCAAGTTAACAAAAGGCAAAATAATGACCAAATATTTTAGAAAGTTTCGATCATGGGTTTTCTCAACACTGCAATACATTTCTAATACACCTGGAGTTGGCTTTAAATTTACTTTGAACCAATTGTGTACAACTGTTGATTGTTGTCTTTATTGATAACACTTTAAATATGAATAATATTTTACTATGACTTTCACATTTATTGAAAATGGGGAAAGAAGAGCATGTAATGAAAGTTGAAATAAGCATTCAAAACACTGTTTTGAGTTTCACAGTTCATACATGTATTTTATCAATTTACCTTTTAAGCTCGCAAGATCAATGCCAGGAACTTCGTCTTTTATCAACGTAAGGATTTCTGCGTATTCAGTCTTTTTTTGTTTCTATCCCTATATGATTCGGACTTAATATTCGATAAACTCTCTCTCGATCTGAGCAATTCTAGCAGATTTGATATCGCCAAATCAGTCCACCGTACGGCGCTCATGCTAGCTGCCATTGCAAAATTCAATAGTCCGCTGGCCAACCGCATACAAGTCCTGAGATTACTTTGACAAGTTTTCTTTGTTGACTCATACAGACGAGCAAATTTTGTATTTTGACACTTTCAGTGCTGCATTAAACAATCTTGTAACAAGTCTTCAGTTTGATTCATCAAGTTTGTTTCGGCTTGTTAACAAGTTGTTCCATACTTGTCGACAGCTTAGAACAAGTTGTGCGAACACAGCGATAGAGATAAGGTACGTCCAACTAAATTGATGGCACTGGATGGCAAAAGGACAATATAATTATGGGTTGTAATATGTGAACGCGATCGCCGTGTTTTATTTTACCACGGCTCTTTAGTTTTGAATAGTATCTAGAATTTTTGTATTTAAGGTAGTATTTTAGAAGCTCCCGAGCAGTGCCTTTTTTAAGGAATTTTCACTGGGGGGGCAAAGCAGAAAAAAGGCGAAACGAAAAATGAGCCGACGAGGTTTGGCGAACGCGCGAGACAGAAGGAAACCTATGTTTAAGTGCAAACAATAATTTTAACTCTTTGTTTATACAGCATTTAGAAAAAAATTTGTACAGCAGTTGTACAGCATTACGAAAAAAATTTGGTCACAAAATCTCTTTTTTTATATGTCTCAAGACATGGCCTTGCACTGCGTCGGTCTTTTTTGTTGAAAAAGGATACAACGGCTGGCCTTGGGTCATATGAAGCAGTAGGGACACCGTTCCAGGCTATTATCATCTAAAGTTTTCTGATTTGTTGCTGTCCTCAGCTTCGAGTACAAAATATTATATGTTGAAACACTTCTTTCAACCGTCATGCTATCAGGTGAAATCACCACTATTGCAGACAGCAGATCCCTTACTAAGCCAGTGCTATGTCTGAAAATACAAAGAAAAACAAGAAAAATACTATATATCTCAATTCTCAAAAGGTACTTTTGGTTTTTAGCAACACAGCTTGCTTGCTTACCTTAGCATATGTAGTATCCTAACTGTGTAATCTTTTTCCAAAACGTGTGAATTGGGTTTCAGATCGTCAAATGTCTCAAAAACAGTGTCAGTGAATCCTTTCACATCATCACCAACTATACCTGCACATTCGAGTAGCGGTCTTGTAGCAGCAACAAACTCATTTATTGATTTTGCACCACAGATGTCAACAATGTTTTTCATTATGCCTTCCTGCTCATTGTCCAACCTTTGCTCAAGGAAGTTAATGGCTGCATTAATAATCTCATTTCGTATGGTAGTAAATGATCTTCCCCGGATAACCATCAATTAAGGCATGCGTTCTCTTTGCTTGCCTTGACTGCATCGATGACTCAGCAGATTGTCTGGATCCATCAGCATGTAAGGGACCATTTTCTTTTATCCACATTTCTTCAGAACCACCAGCATATGGTGTACCTAACATAGACCTGAGCTTCAAGAGTGCTATATCTCTGTGCTTCATGATGTCTGGAAGGACAATGCAAACTTTCTGGAATTGCTTCTGCAAGATCTGAAACACAGAGCATACATCAGACACAATGGAAGTAATGTATGACTGTGTTCCATTCTTTTTCCACAGCTTAATGAAACCCTCAGCACGCTTTCTTTCCCTTGTATCAAAATCAGTACTTTTTGAAATGTTATCCCAGTGCTGTAGGCATCCAATTTGATTATGAAGGACAACAATACAGACATTGTTTAAATGCTGGGAAAACCGCACATTGTGGTAAGTAGGGAAAGCCTTCATGGTAGGAAGAATTTTTTTCAGTTCTTTTGTCCTGACAGCAGACTTATGGTAGTATTCTGGGATGGAAAGTAGATTTGACTTCCAAACTTTTAACTTAGGAACACTTTCTTCCATATCTTCCATTGCAAGGTCAGAACGATGGCAAGCACACCAAAAGTTCATCAGTTTTCTCTCTACATGATCTTCTAACCTCTTCCACAAGCCAGATTTAGATCCTGTGTTAGCAGATTCACCATCTGTAGTAACACCAGCAAATTTTTTTTTCATTACAAGTTTGTCTACTCCAATTGTTTTTAAGCCTGTAAGAACACAATCTTCTAAGCCAGCAGCTCCTTTTAGGTCTGAGTCAGTTACACCAACAAATTTTGTCTTAATATCTAATGGGTCATCAGGAGAGTTGTATTTTAGAAATAGAAACTTATTGTCATGCTGCATGGTGTCTACAGATCCATCAATTTGGGTGGAGAATTTAATGGCTGTGTTCACTTCATCTTTCAATTTCATTTTCTCAAGCTCTGCGATAGTGTCAAGCATTTCTTTGTAAATGTTTGGATCTCTGTAATGCAAATCTATTGAGCTTGGCTCAAATGGAATGAATGGACTCTGCAATAATCCATTTTCACTCAGAGAAGAAATAAGCTGGTCAGCATGTGCTGTGGCAAGGGCTCTTGAAGGCCATGACCATGCTGATGGTGTTAGCAGTTTACTGTCATTGTAAACGTCAATTGCAAGTTTGATTAGGTTTTCTACTGTTGTTTGTTCCTGATTTTTAAAAACTCTTACCAGAGGATGATTTAGGTCCTGATTGTCCCATAGTTCCTTGTGCTTTTTTGCATCCAAAGCTGCCTGATGCATTTCACTATGCAAATGATCTATTATGTTTTTGAGTTTCTCTTCCGAATCACATCTTACTCCATGTGCTATGTAAACAATACCATGCCTTGATCTCCTTTTCGCTTGTTCCTCAAATTGCGAACAGATGTTGCATTTAGCAAGCTGTCGTTTACGGGAGCCAATTTTCTCGCTATAAACCGATATTGTTTCTTTTCCCACCTTATTTTGTATTTTGTTGATATTCAACAAAAAACCTCTGTATGAATTTAAAGAGCAAGGTATTTTCTTTTGTTCATTATTTATAGGTGGATTTGTAACCGTACCAGGGTCAACTTGTTCAACTTGAACAGTTTTGCTCGCAGCAGGGGATTTATTTTCCTGATCTGTCACCTTCGTTTTTGCTTCAGCATCAACTGATGTCACTGCTTCGGTATTCGTAGATTTAGGAACCACGAAAAAATAATTTGTCAACTTTTGACACTTTGTGTTTTCATTGCTTTCGGCAACATTTTTTCTTTTCTGTTTAATATTGCTTTCCATATTCATATTTCATAAGCCTGGCCAAATTTCGCGGGAAATATTCATTTAACAAATGTACGAATTACGAAAAGGCGAAAAGCCGGAATTTGCCACAAAACCGTCGCGAAAAAAATAGCGTTATCAACAAACTGCCGAGCGGAAATACTAGGAAATAGTGGCAAGGTTTAGAAAGCTAGCATTTTATTGGATTGATTCTATGAAATTTATCGCTACTGTGAAATATTTGTCGAAGAACATTATGCATCACATGCAAGGTGGCTGTGGAAAAGGCTATGGAAGGGCATGGTCTCTTTATCAAAGTAAATCAACAGCAATTCTCAGAGCAATAATGAGCAATACTGTGTCGCACTACGTGGGCAGAAATGTAGTTACTGGGGGGGCAAATGCATTCTCTGGGGGGGCAATTGCCCCCCCAGATATATAGTTAAAAAAGGCACTGCTCCCGAGGTATTGACGCGGCGAAATACTGCATGCAGACAAAATGTTTGCGCTAAAATTAAACACACACTGAGTCGGATTTCTGCTATGATCAGTTTTATTTCATCCAGTCTAAAAGCAATTCAAAGAATAAAAGCAACAATTTTAGCATTTCCGCAGCTCAATTTGCAGTGGACTCCCATCAAATGAGGGTTTCACTGCCCATTCTGTACATTTTGCGTTATAGTTGACACATCTATCGACCAGACCTTGGCGGATTCGCATTTCTGAAACAAACAGCTGCTTTGTAGTCACATTCACAAAGACGTCTTCCACAATCTCTGCTAAGTTTTCCCAGAAATGATCTTGGTCGAACTAGAAAATAGCGAAGCACATACGTGAGATCGCGCAAGCTATAAAGCAGGTAGTAGACTGTATCACGTATCCTTTGTTCCGTCTAATAGGCGACGCCCTGGTAAGCCTATGGTGGTCAAAAAACTAAAATTATACTCAACTTAAAGATTTTGAGGACAGAATGGAGTCATTCTGGGGGAGTGGTACACAAACACATCTTATAAAGAGAAAGTCTCGCGTAAGGACCTTTGCAAGACCACGGTTTATGTTTACGGAACCAACGGGTAAGCATGGGTTTAGCTCTAGCTTTACGAACTTCAACGCAAACACTACTTTCATAGCAAACCATCTCGCATCTAAAACATAACTCCTCCTCAACGTTTTAACTGCCCATTAACCTGTCTTATAGAACAAACCGGGAGTTCATACTTCGCATGCAACTTTTCAACAAAATTCTAAAATTGTAAAGATGTCAAACTGGTTTCGTTGGGAAGAGAGTGAAAATACATTCTTCCGAATAGGTCGAAAGAGACCTGGACCTCTCAAATAATCTCGTAAAGGTTTCTGTCGGCTATGGTAGTAAACCCACTTCGGACATTGAACTTTTTATGTGCCAATTTGAATGCAAATAAGTTTCACATCAAAACCTGGCTTTACATTATTTATGCTTTCTGTCAACTTACCGCATGTGCATTTAATTGGGTCTATAAAATATGGATGGATATAAACTCCGACGCTGGTGCATATTCCAAGTCTCACTGCCTCACCATAGCAGTCATCATGTATTTTACAGCAACTGTTAAACATAGATTAGAATTATAAAATGAATCGTTTGTGCTATGACTCCAAGATATGCCGGACGGTTTCAAGATTTTAAAAGATTTTTACTTATCAAGAGCGTCTACTGGCTGTCCGGTCACTCCTGGTGGTGTTTTTCCACAGTACTTGCCATGATCAATGTACTCAGTAGGAAAACGTTTAGTAAAACAGGCAACCATATACGCAAATTCAGCCAAGCTTCTCTTATCTTGGCCTAAATTAGAAATTTTGGATGGATGAATAAAGAATGCTTTGTCACTAGTTGTATTAAGCCTGATGTCAAAACGAAGCTTAATCGACGTGGACCGATCCTGCACACATGTAAATTACAGATTTCAATGTTTATACATTGATACTTTTACGCCCAAATAGCCTATGATATTGTGTTTTAACGAGAAACCACATCCATCAAAAGTACACATAAACATTGGCAAACCACCAATGACAAACGGCTAATTTCAAGGAACCTGTTATTTCTTTCGAAAATTTGAAACGAACTTTGCCGTTTGCGGTTAGAGGGGTATCGTAAATGTCAAGCCACGGATCAAGTTAAACTCATTAATATCTCATGATTTGCAACACATCTCACACAACACTATATGAGATGTTATACACCTATTCCGATATGTCACTTTATGAAAGTGACAGTACCCATCAGGGCCCAATTATCGAGAGATTTATATATGCCACTGCTTATTTGAGTATGCTCTTTCTAGCTGTGCCGATTTATTTTCTTCTTGTTATTTCTGTCAAAAATTAGTCAAAATTTGAAGAGGGCATGTATACTCATATATTATAAATGTGTATATAGAGCGTTATGCACAGAAGAATGATCAAATAAAAATCATTCTTACTCAGCAAATTACTTTTATGAAATTTAATTGCAGGGATAGATTTATTTTTTCGTATGAGAAAATGCTATACGCAGGTTTTGATTGAGCTAACGATTTTCTTCAGTTGTGCAAAATTTTTGTATGAATTATGGCGGCAATTTGTTTGCGTAAATGAAACACTTCTAATTTACAAGCTTGAGATATTGAATCACAATCCGAACTTAAAAAACGTCTTAATAAAAGGATAGTCGTGCGTTTATTTTTACTTCAGGCAAAGCTTTCGGGAAGTGCGCGAATACAACATAATTCCCAACTAGAAAACAGGGATCCAGAGCAGAGCTTTTAAGAAAGATTACTTCAAAAATGAGATTTTAGACCAACAAAGGAGTATTTTTTCAAACCTATGGAGGCCCCCTGTGTATCACATTCCCCATCACAGTCTTATGATTTGCCAGCTTCCTGGGTCATTCTATACCTATATGAAGGTGTTGTTACTCGTTATTTTACTCACTTTCAGGTTTTCGGGATAGACTTTCTAGCCACGAGCCTTCGGTTGGAGCCTTCAATGAGGAAAAATTTCGAAGCAATTTTACAATGAGTAGTTTAGTTAGCAATGCTGAAAAAAAGTAGCGCTAAATTCCTAAATATGAGGTGGAGTTTACTAATATAATCTTAATCACGCAAACTACAATCGCCTTAATAGAACTTCACATAATTATAGACTATTATGTATATCTGATTCCATAGTTAACGGCAAAATTTGACCGATGCGCAAGTTTGCACTCAAATTCTTACGGCAAACTTTACATGCAGAAATTTAACCTACCAATATGCAAAGAAAATATATCCACATCAACATCATGTTTTTGCAAAAGTGATAGTTTCTATGGATAAGAATAAAAACCCAAAACTATAAGCGTATAAAAGGCTATGTCAATGAAAACGAGATGCCCACTGCATTACTTACCCTATGGTGACAAAAATCTAGAAAATCAGAGCTCCTTCACCCCACTTGTCAACAAAGATTCAATTCTTTGAAACAAACTGAGGAGCGTATGAATTTATAGACTGTAGGTAAAAAAAATTCATTGCAATTTAGATTAGCAGTGGATATTGCATTGGTTTTTTGTACCATTGTGACATTAACCATCTTAATCAGATCGGCGTCTTTTCGAGTGACACCGGAAGACCCCGAGAGTGCTTGAGAACAAGGAGTATTTGCATAATCACGTATGCAAAGTTTGAATAATAAGGCAAGTATTAGCGTTTATCTTAATCCTGGCGCACACTGGCGGAATTGCACATTGACGGAAATATGACGCAAATAGAAGGTAAAAGCCTCTCATGCAATTAGTTTGCTCATTCTGAGAACAAAATTTTTACATCACTGCCAAAATATACCACAGATATAAACAGGCCTATATTGATGACACTATAAAGCATGCTTAAGATTTCTCGTAGTCTCGACATAAGACTTGCAAAACACATAGCTAGCTTACAAAAGGCTTTATTCTGTTCATGCTAATAAATATTTCTTTACGTGCATATGCAGGGTGTACAGGGTGTTCAAAAAGAAGACGCAACCACTTAAATATGCAGAACATTAATACAGCTCTAAAGCGCAATAGATAAGCACCTCTGGGAATTGAAAATGGCTCTTAATCCTTCATTTGCAATGCTAAAAGTCATTTTAGCTGAACTATGGTGCAAACCCGAACAATATTAATATTCTTGCATATTTAAGTGGTTGCGTTTTTTTGGGACACCCTGTATAAAGAAAACGCAACACTTAAAATTCATGCATATCCGCTTTGTTTTACAATACAAAACTAATTAGATGTTTGGTCTTTCGATAGCTGGAATTTAAGAAGGCTTGTAATCGTATTTTAGCGCAGCTAAATGGGGTTTCTTATTACTCCGGCGTAGGCGACGGAGTTTAAAAATCGCCTCGTTTGGTTGTTTTTTTTAGGGTGTTTTTGTTCGTCGTCGCAAATGTTTTTTGGCGCGAAATACCGTATATTTTGAAATCCAAAGCAATCAGCTAATGTGATCGTGAATGTCTACGTTAAAGTTTCGTCAAATGGCGAGGGCCCAATAGCGTATGAGGGGGAATGAGCAGTGCAGCCTCCTGGACACGGTGTACGCGTTATGGAACGATTAGTTATTAATATGTATAATGTATAAGTATAATGTATAATAGAATAGTCAATATGGTAAAGAATAGGAGGGTCGATATTGACAAGCCGGAACATTGCAAGGAGAACTTGGTACTTAGTATGACATGGTAAGTAAATATTACTGTGATTCTTCGTGATCATCAAATTGCCCTTCCGTTCTTACAGTGACAGTCGTGGGATTTTTAGGCAAACAATCGTATGTTGTTGCCGAGTTCAATTGACAGGACTCAAACATTCAAGGTCGAGGGTTTCCAAGCTCTTGTGTCAATCAATCGTATGTAGATGTTGCGCGGTTAAGCACTTGAAAGTATAACGTCAGCAAAAAGCTAGTAAGCTTAGTTAATTTAGTTTAAATTGTAAGATATGGTTCACAGAGTTATTGTTTCAAATTTTTACTATAAGTTAATGATAAGTTTTCTAAATTGTGAACATTTCTAAAACCAACTTGACCTGTGCGTCACCGCCAGTCTTAAGTAATTATGGAGGTCTAGCAGCGACTACGAGTACGACTACGAGTACGAGATTCGTCATTCTCGTGCGTTGTTTGCTTACGCCATCAGCCAAAACTCGTAGTCGTTGGGCTTTTTCAATTTTCCAACAAACTCGTACTCAAAAGCCGAACGACTACCAGTTCTGGCTGATAGCGTAAGCAAACAACGCGCGAGAATGACGAATCTCGTACTCGTAGTCGTACTCGTACTCTCGTAGTCACTGCTAAAGCTCCCTAATAACTAGGGATCCAAGGACGATGCAAAGTTTCGTTGCTCATTCCCATTTCTATGCCATCTTGGTGTGTGCACGGAACTTCGTACCCCACTAAAAAGTTCCGTGCGCACACCATGCAGGATAGCGTGGAAATGACGCGCGCGCTTCTGAAAATTTTGGACACAAAAACGTTAGGAAAATACAAGAAGTGAAGCTTTTGGTATAATGTCTATTCTGTGCTCGTACGTAGTCGTGCTCCCAATCACTGCAAGTAAAGCCAGCCGCACACGAAAGCTATCAGCTGACCTAAAGACCTTAGCTCAGCAAGTTATTCTCGTGTGCGCTGGAAAGTTTTCGTGAGGAATTCGCCTCGAGAGGCAAGTTTCTCACGTGTGTAGTTTAATGAATTTGAGATTTCTGATCTCATATATTTTATACGGTATAAGTCAAAGCAGAAAACTAGCTGAACGGGAGAATATTTGCCTCTTGAATTCCGTTTCAGTGTAATGTATGCAAGTTCCTTCTTTCCGAAACTCTCTAGCTATATCATGCATGCACAATACAATATTCAATATTGTAAGAAAGCAGACAGGTCAATATTGATCAAGGAGAATAGGAAAATGTCACTTAGCCTGTCGTGCATGTAAAGTATAGTTTATTGTGGCCCTTCGCACTCATCAAATTCCTCTTCCATGCATGCAGTGACAGACCTGGGATTTTCAGCCAAAAAGTCGTTGGTTGTTGCCAAGTCCAACTGTTAAAACTCAAACATTCATGCAAAGTCTAGGGGATACAAGCTCTTGTGTCAATCATTATTACGTTTATTTTGCGCGGTTAAACTTAATTCGATAAAATTGTTAGCATAAGGCCCGTTTCAGACGTCGAGCTTTTCATGTGCCGAACCTCATGTTAATGAGCAAAAGTCTTTGTTTAAGTTCATTTGCATTTGATTCGGCACATGAAAAGTTCGACGTTTAAACCGGCCTAAGTTTAGTTTAATTCATAAGATATGGTTCACACAATTACTGTTATAGCGCTTCATCGTGTCATTATTTTTACGAGAGTCTCGCCATTTTGAACGTATAGTCATGGTGGTGCTATGTTTTACTGGAACGGCGTATTAAGCAATATAAGGCTAGCGGGATCTCTCACATAATATTGTTCGACAAAAGCTGGGTGCTTTTATATATGATTATTACGAGTGTATAAAGTAAAAGCAACGTTTACAGAATAAGGGATCTATTGATTGAGACTGAAAACATTACATTTTGAAAGCATAATGCAGGATAAGAATATATAAGCAGAAATATAAGAATAACAAATCAATCCAAATCCGCAGCGCTGAAGGTGTTCAACTGGTTCCTTTACCCGAGAGTGAGACAAGTCTTGAATACTTCTTGTTTCTATTTATTCTTTATTCTTTGTTGGTTTCTTTAACTTGCATATGTAAACGGTGTATGTGTTGACACAAATTTATTCAACATATAGCTCCATTCAGGAAAGCTAGTGTTTTTTTGTTTGTTTTTTTTATTTAAGTGTTTTTTTGTCTATTTTTCTACTAGAGCTAGGGATATTTTAATTATATAGTTTGAATTAATGTTCGTGATGTTTGTGTCTTGGCTCTTCCTGCTTATGCTTCGTCTTTTCGTTTATTTTTCGTTCAGTCAACTTCGTCAGTCTTGTTGAGTTTTTTGACGTTTCACATGATTTTACTCCAGTGGATCCATTGTTGAGGATTTCCTGTTGTTCACGCGTGTTCGTGGGTTTTTTACGCAAATGTTGCCTCTACAATGTGGAGTGATCCACGACTAGCCAATAAACTTTGTAGTTTTCAGGTGTTGGTTGGTGTTAGAATCTCGTTTCAGCACTCGTTTTTTAGTTAGCTACTTAACGTATTGACGCACTAGTCGATTTGGTCTCTTGCTTAATTGGTCAATACGTCTTAGAAATGCGTGTGTCAATAGCGTGTATCATATATACAGAGTTCAGGACTTCAGGTCAGTGGACTGTAATAGGGAACTTTAGATTCGCTACGGCTACGAAATCTAGTACGACAACGAGATTTTTTCCATTAAGTGCTACTAAAAGTTATAACAGTACATCAGTTTGGTGCAACTGTTGTTATAAAGATGTGGTATGCAAAAGAAAGGACGATAAAAAGCCTGCACTTGTAGATATTTAATGGAAAAAATCACGTAGTCGTACTAGATTTCGTAGCCGTAGCGAATCTAAAGTTCCCTAATAAACAACTGGAACGATACCTCCTGATTGTCTTCGTGAAGCCAAAATTTGCGGGACTTTACCTCCACACACGCGTGTTTCGTTATCGGATCGTATAGTGTTTTACCAACGGTTTTAGTTTAGACTTTTTAAGTAACCCCATTGACAATAAAACTAAAGTTGCTCAGGTGTCGATGTACATGGAATAGAGAATGTAGAATATAATCTGATATTTGTGCCGGAAAATGGACGGTACACCGTGTCTGCAGGAAGGCTGCACTCCTTAGTCCCCCTCGTACGACAAGGGAGAATTTTACAACGACGCGTTGTAAAGTTCGAAGAAACAAATGCGAGGATATATTTTACTGGCAACTTTAATATTCTTGCATGCACTAATAGAGATTTATCAATGCTTTCTCTCATATTTAAATATGTAATCATTGTTAAAAATCATTGTTAAAACTCTGGCATTGCCCAAATTGTTGAAAATTGCCAGACATTAATTTCAGCTTTTTCAATATCATTTTTGGTATAATATATGGCAGCATTTACCATATTCAAAAATTAACTTGTCATTTTGAAAAATGCAAGCACATGCACAACTGGTTTAATATTTGCTAAACAGCATGTAGATGACGAGTTATAGATTACAAATTAATTACCATTAATTACCTAGATCTTAGAATTTACATACAGATTTAAAAGTTATCAATGGTACAATCATAATTTTAGAGAGTAATTTCATCATTTGTTCCACTTAAATTTGCATTCATAGATGATGATGTTTGGTTTGAATTGCTTGTTTTAACATAGAAGCAAAAACGTGTAAATAATTTGATACATGCAATTAAGCTTACTTCGTTTTCCTTCAGCTTTAGGGGAATTTTTTTTGAATATTAAATATAATAATAAATTGCATTACCTCAACTTAACTATAAAACCCCCAAAACTT